GGACAGATCTTGAAACATCCTTTGTGATGATGAATGTCATGCCATTCCTTTTCAAACTGTCATTCCCAACATAGTAGATCATATGGTTGTCTGATTCAAAATGGCCAAAGCCAGTCCATTTTAGCTCACTATTGCCAAGAATATCAATCTTTATACATTCCATTTCATTTTTGACAACTTCCAATTTTCCTAGATTCATACTTTGTACATTCCATGTTCCAATTATTAATGGATGTCTGCAGCTGTTTCTCTTCAATTTGAGTGGTGCCACATCAGCAAATGGAGGTCTCGAAAACTCTACCTTATCCATATGAGTAAGGATGGATTTACTCAGATGATGCAGCTCTTTCCCAGTCCTATTTTGAGAGCCTTCTAACCTAACCTGACTATTCATAAAGTTGTGTGGTAATATATCAGACAGTGTTTCTTTGCTATTCATAAGGTTTTCCCTGGCCAATTCTTTGAGAAATGGATGGCCCCTTCCTTCTTCCTAGTCTGTCTCAGTCTGTAGCTGGGCTGATACCTGTGCACCATGTGCATCCCTCTGGGTTTGAAACACCAGTGGCTCAGCCTCAAAACTCACATCAACATGTCACCACGGTAGGACAAACCGACAGACAAGTTTGTCTCCCTGTTGGAAACCTCTCCTACTACCCTTACCTGAGTCCCTGCGGCTGACTCCTCCTCTGTCCTGGTAGCTTATAAGGAACCTAAATAACATTTCTCCAACTCTCTCATTTTATCAAACAGAAAATTTGAACATAAAAGGCCATGGAATTTGTCTACAGACATCGAGCAAAGGAGAGTAGCCCCAAGACTGTAGCAAGGTCTTCTAAGGCCCAGTCCAGGTTTCACCTGTCCTCCTGCTCAGGGGCACAGCCCTTCTTATCTTTTCACCCTTGTCTGCTCCTCACCATCAGGATAATCTCTGAACTGCCACCTCTAATCTTATCTCTCCCTCACTCTTAACTTCCAAGGGCTCCAGGAGTATCAAGAGTAGCTAAGTTGGAACCATTTATAAACTAGAGTTGAGATAGAGACCAGAATTGATATCTTACATTCTCCCTCCTGAGTAACCATGCAAAGAACAAGAATCCATTCCATTTGATCCACATGGAAAAATTAGACAGCAAGACTGATTTGACACCACCAAAATGAAGTGTGTGATGCCCAAAAACATTCTAAAATGAGCGTGGAAAGTTATTTGTAGAAATACCCAGAGACCGTGTGAATGATTTTGCAAATAACTCAAGTTATTTGCTCAAATAGAAAGAATTGCATTCTTGGCATCATTTCTGTAAATAGCCAAACCAATTTTCAAGACACTTTCTGGCTTATTCAAGCCTAAGAAAACTTGGTCCACCCCCAGCCTTCCTGTCCACTCTTCCTATTTCTGTCCTCATTATGATCATTATCACTGCCTTACCACCACATGAGTGGACCAAAGATTTAGACTCTCTACTGGACATGTTTTTGAACCCCATTGGGGCAGAAAAGAAGTGAGTCAAGTTGCTTTGAGTTGCCTGCAGAAATCTAGTCTTCATCAGACAACAAGAGACTCCCAGGAAAATAGCTGAGGGGTTAATGGAAATGAGTAGAAATAGCATGGAAACAGACTTAAATAAACAAGAGATATGGGGCGGGGGGGGAATAATAAACAGAAGTAAAAATAATGCTGAAGGGCATGTGGCCTGCCAGTGAGAGAAGTGATCAAGATAACGGGTGAATGGGTACAAGAATAATGAGAGACTAAGAGGATAAATCCATTGGTGAGTGACTAGTGAACATCTCAGTTTATAAGAAGAATGGGACACCTTCCTGCTCCCAAGATATTATCCGAGGAGGAAAGTCATAGTAGAATTAGAATCCTAAGGAGGGAATTCAGAGAAATGATGGAAAGGGTGAGCTCTAGTCCTGGCTCTGCTAGACTCTAGCTCCAGCGCTGTCTCCCTAGGCTACAATAACCCAGTGGCTGCTGAGTCGATCCCAACTCATGGCTACCCCATGTGTGTCAGAGTAGAACTGTGCTCTGGGTTCTCAATGGCTGATGTCTCAGCAGCAGATCACCACCAGGCCTTGCTCCAAGGAGCCTCCGGGTGGCCTCAAACGGTCAGCCTTTTGGTTAGTAATCAAGCACTTAACCGTGTGCACCCCTCAGGGACTTCATCTCCCTAATCAACTTACAGCTATTCCCAGAACATCAGCTTTTTTTCTTCTTCTTCTTTCAAAGAATAAGTAGACTAGATTTCCAAGAACCATTCACATTCTAAAACCCAATGACCTATGAGTTTCTAATGTTTTGTAAAACAAGTGTTAGTAACAATTTCTGTGTTGCACAGAAAGAAAGGTGATTATGTGGTAAACTCTTACAGGAGGGAGCCTGCTAGAAAGAGCTCAGACTGGGTTTTCAGGCAGATCTGGGTTCAAATTTTTACACCTTACTACCTTTATAACCTTGGACAAGGTTGTTTTATCTTGCTGAGCCTCAGCTTCCTCTTCTTAAAATAAGGATAATACCACATACTTCATAGTTTGTTTAGTATCAGATAGTGTAAGGAGCTCTGGTAGCGTAGTGCCTAAGGCACTTGACTGCTAACCAGAAGACTGGCGGTTTAAACCCACCAGCTACTTCTCAGAAGGAAGATGGGGCAATCTACTTCCATAGTGATACAGCCTTGGAAACCCAAGGAGGGGTTTCTATGAGTTGGGGCTGACTTGATGGCACATAACAACAACATGATTATCATCAGGTTCTCAAAAACGTTAAGTTCCCTTTCCTTCCCTCTGAGGGAAGAAAGACATCTTATATTGCACCTAACAAAAGGCAGAAGAACAGCCCACTTGGTAAACTGATCAACTATCATGCAGAGTATAAGTATTAAACAATTAACATAGATATCTGATTTACTAAGAAAAGCAAATTTCACTCTCACAATTCTCCAGAAGAATTGCTGAGGCATTTGTTCTGATTCTGTGAGCTTAGACTTAGGGTGCTGAGAAATTAGCTATGTCTTATTACAGATTACCTTGGTTGTGTGTGTATGTGTGCACCAGGGTTTGAACCAGTTCATTCCAGCTCAACCCTCTGCTGAGAATTGGCTTTTCCACCCTAAATATGCCAAGTCCGAACCTACAGCTTAGGAGGGTTCGCAGGCGGTTCTTAGAGATCCCCAGGGGGTTAAGTATACATATGATCTTGTTGGACCATAGAGTCTGACTCAGGGTTCCTGGGTGGGAACACACATCCTCAATGAGAGCTCAAACCAGAATGAACCAGCTCAAAGCCCTAGTGTGTGCATGTGTGTGTGCTTGGGCACATATGTGTACATGTTTATTTGTACAAACTTCCAAGTTGTGATGCATTCTTGGGCAAAAAAGTGACTATTCTAATGTCCTTTTAATTTAATTTCCCAAGCCCTACGCAGGCTTAGTGATGTAGTTTTGTAAGCTTTTGACTTTGGCTGAGTTCAGAGGCATTTATGACCCTATCATATGTACCATAAACATCAACCTGCTTTCTTATTTCTTTGCAAATCCAATTATTTCTAATTACATAAAGCCATCATTGATCAAGTAAGCATAAAAACCAATACAGAAGAGTCTAATATCTTAAATAAGCTTGTAGACTTCAGGGGATAATTGAATGTCATAGCATTTCATACAAGGAGACATCTTTGTTGTTAAGAACTGGCCAAAGTTAAAGGACAGTGTCTAAACCCCCTCATGTTATGTATTGATTTAGTTAAAATTGAAAATATTTGGATTCCATTTTCATTTCCTTTTCCTCCCTCTCTGCTGCTCTCTGCAGGCTTGGAAATGGATTTTAGGCCCTGTGGTCTTGTATGTATGTGAAAGAATAATTAGGTTCCGACGATTTCAACAAGAAGTTGTCATTACCAAGGTATGCATGTAGCTTTACGTCTGAATAAAAGCCTGAGTGTAGATGAACATTTTTTATTAGCCCAAGTTTTAAATTTGCCATTTTTATTGCAGAACTGTCTGTAATTTAGAGGCTCATGTTCTGTTCTAATGATTGCTTGCATCCTAAGCATCTTTTCGTGTGCCTAATCTTACTGACAACAGGGACCAGGGCTCCAGATAGGCTCACAGGACCCTGGTCTGGGGCCCTGC